TATCCCAACAACCCATACATTTCTGAAACCTGGAGATATGAAGGTTCCAAATGTGTCCCTTTCATAGCAACCCTTTCTAATGGAAAACGTTACAAGGAGCTTTCTAGGATACTCCATTGAAGCGCGGATCCTCTGAGAAGATATGAAATTTGTTTGGATTTTTATTACGTTACTGGCAAAGTTGCATATATCTTCCTAATATCTGTGTAAACCAATCTGTTTCCATGCTGGTGACGTGTTACTTTTTGGGGATTGAGCTGCTCAAAGGCGATAGACTGAGGATTTCTTGTTATTGAAAGGACTATAATGACGAGAGGGGGGGATGGCAACAAACTCATCATTAGAATATCCCCTTTCTCCCACCTCCTTCTCCACCCAGTCGATGGCTCCTTAAAAGGCGAAAGTTAATGTACCCCCCTTCACAGAGGGAAGCTATCGCACGTATGCCACCATCCAAAAATTGGAAAAAGAAATGTTTGCCAATAGATTATGTTATGAATGCTCAGAACCGTTCCCAGCAGTCATTGCTTCGTGATAGTAGAAGCGAACCTGGAAGAAACTTGAAAAATTGCTGGTCACCTTGATCAGTGTGCTCATCTGCCTGTTGCGCACTAACATCGCATACACTTTGTTCGCGTGAAGATCGCTCTGCATGCGAGGCTGTTGAAGCAAGGCTTACGTCGTCTTTGCTTAAAAACCAAAACAATTGTACTGATTATGACATGATCAGCAAATATGTAGGAAAAATCAGTCCAACACTTTAGTTTGACTTTAAAAACCCTCTACCTCAGAGCACAGTCTCATCACTTCTACGCAAGTCCAGTGAAAGTCAAAAAACTTCGCCCCAAAAAATTCAGGCTTTTTTCAAAGATTGTTTTTCGGTGATTCTTTAGAATATAATGAAAATAGATCTCAAAAAATTGATATAAGTATCACTCACAATCCCTCTTGTAGCAGGTGGCTTGATAACAGTAGCACTAGATTGCACTGCTTAAGTTGAGATGTTAGTGGCCTGAGCTTGAGTTTGAGTTCAGATTTCTGATCAGGATGATCCATAATGAAAAGGCGCATGTTAAGAGGAACGGCAGCGATAGGTTTTCTCCGTCCTTTCGCTGTAACTTCCTCAATAACGATCGTCCATTCCTTAACCAAAAGAGTTAAAAGTTCCTTGTTTCAAAATATTGTTGTGATGTTAGGTCTGAACTGACTTTGTCATCGTACTGATCATCATGCTGTGACTTATACAGCGTGGTCAGAATGTCAATGTGATCTGGAGCTTGCTCCGGCCACATTATCACTGTCTGGTCAGGATTGGAAAAAGAATCCTCCCATTTTCTCTCCTTTGAACTAATTTTCCT